CTATTTTTAAAATTTTTTCTGAGCCAGGCTCGGTGGCTCAGCCTATAATCCCGCGCCTTTGGGAGGCTGAGGTGAGTAGATTGCCTGAGCCCACGGGTTCGAGACCCCCCTGGGCAGCAAGACCTCATCTCTACAATAAATCAAAAAATCAGCTGGGCGTGGGAGCGCATGCCTGTGATTCCGGCTACTTGGAAGGCTGAGGTGGAAGGATCGCCGGAGCCCAGCAGGTCGAGGCTGCGGTGGCTGGGAGCGGCCACTGCACTCCAGTCTGGGCGACAGAGTAAGACTCCAACTCAAAAAAAAAAAAAATTTTATTCTGGCTGGGCACAGTGTCTCACACCTATAATCTCAACACTTTGGGAGGCCAAGGTAGGAGGATTGCTTGAGTCAGGAGTTCAAGATTTGCCTGGACAACATAGTGAGACCCCATCTCTATAAAAAAAAAATTATCCAGGTGTGGTGGTGCACTCCTGTAATCCCAGCTACTTGAGAGACTGAGGTGGAAGGATTGCTTGAGCCTAGGAAATCGAGGCTGCAGTGAGTTGGGATTGCACTACTGCATTCCAGCCTGCGTGACAGAGTGAGATCCCATCTCAAAAATAAAAAATTAGAATTTCTTCCATGGGTTGTCGAATGTTTCCAATGACTGATCCAGCCTCCCTTGGCCTTTTCTGGAGTTCAGATTTGGTTGCATGTCTATGTTGCCAAATTTGCCCCAAAGACCCCCATTGAACACAAGGATGGATGTTTACTGAAGAAATGGGAATCATTCTGTGTAACCTACATGTTTTTCGGGGTTAGATTGCTTCTTTAATTTCCTTCAGCAGCACATCATAGGCTTCAGTGTTCAAGTGTTGCTCTTTTTTTGTTTGTGACTCAGTGTCTCACTCTGTCACCCAGGCCAAAGCCCAGAGGCACAATCACGACTCACCGCAGCCTCAACCTCCTGGGCTCAGGCAATCTTGGCCTCAGTTTCCTGAGTAGCTAGGACTACAGGTACATACCACTATGCCCTGGTAATTAAAAAAAAATTTTTTTGTAGAAATGAGGTCTTACTATGATACCTAGTCTTGAACTCTTGGGCTTAAGCAATCCTCCTGCCTTGGCCTTCCAGAGTGCTAGGATTACAGGCATGAGCCACTGTGCCCAGCCTGTATTTTCTTCTTTTTTGATGCTATTGTAAATTGAAATGTTATCTTCATTTCATTTTTTTGATTCTTCATTGCAAATGTATAGTATTGATTTTTGCGTATTGCAGCATTGCTGAATTTATTAGCTCTAATAGTTTTTTAGTAAATTCCTTAGGATTTCTTATTTTCAATATAATGTCATCTTTGAATGGATGGATTCTGGGCTCCCAGTGGGCAGATGTCCTTCCTTTCTGATCTGGATGCCTCTTATTTATTTTTCTTGCCTAATTGCCCTGGCTAGAACCTTCAGCACAATATTAAGCAGAAGTAGTGAGAGTAACGTTCTTGCCCTATTCCTGACCTTAGGGGTGAAGCATTCAATCTTTCACCATTAAGTATAATGTTAGCTGCAGGTTTTTCATAGCTGCTCTTCATCAGGTTGAGAAAGTTCCTTTCTAATCTTCATATGTTGAGTGATGGTGGAAGTGGTGGGTATGGTAACTGAAGGTTCTAAAAACAGAAGAAAAGGGCTACAGTTCTTAGCAGGAGAGAGAACGAGGAGTTGTCAGGAAAGCTGCAGGTTACTTTGAGACAGATGTCCCAAATACATTGGAGGAACTGTAAAAATCTGCCATAGCAGGAACAATGATCCGTAGTCAGAAAAGTTACTGCAGCTTAAATAGGAAACCGTTCTCATTCAGGACGGTCATAGCCACAGTTTGCAAAAAGTGCATCTGTTGATTAATGCAATGTAGTGTCAACTAGATGTACATTTCTGAGGTCTTTTATCTGTTGTAGCTTTATCTTTTTCTTTTTCTTTTCATTGCATCAGGTATATTGCCCTGTGAATTGTGGTAGTGGTACCAGAAGTAAAAAATTAAGGAATTTTTAACTTTTCAATATTTCTGAAGTTCAGTTTTTCTACATTTTAGTACAGAAATTTTAACAAAATGCAGTTTTGAAGGTCTTTCCTTGTGAGTTATCAAGTAAAGAAGAACATTGTTGTTACTATTTTGTACGTATTTTGCTAAAGTTAACTGTAAAGAAACACCTGCTGACTTGAAGTTTAAGGGGAATCTATTCTCATTTCCAAACCATGATGTGAATGGATGCTGATATGTGGAAAGAATAGATATTTGTGTGTTTGCAATGTGTGTTTTAGATAAATAAGATTAGGTATTTAAATTAGCATATTTGTGAATTTAGTAGCATTAAGATTACCTTCAAATGAAAAAAAATCTCAAAATTCCTATTTGGTTTTTGCACATTTTCTTTTATATATATATATACACATACACACACACACGAAACTAAACTAAGCTGGGCTCGGTGGCTCAGCCTGTAATCCCGCGCTTTGGGAGGCTGAGGTGAGTGGATTGCCTGAGCCCGCGGGTTCGAGATCCGCCTGGGCAACTTGGCGAGACCTCATCTCTACAATAAATCAAAAAATCAGCCGGGTGTGGTAGTGTGCACCTGTAGTTCCAGCTACTTGGAAGGCTGAGGCGGAAGGATCGCCGGAGCCCAGCAGGTCGAGGCTGCGGTGACCGGGAGCAGCCACTGTACTCCAGTCTGGGCGACAGAGTGAGACTCCAACTCAAAAAAAAAATAACTAAACTACACACACACACACACACACACGTGTGTGTGTGTGTGTGTCTGAGCAAGAGAATAAATATAGAGAGAGAGAATAAAAATCATGCATTATTAAGCCCCTAACTAACTGGCATGCTTTCCTGTTTATACCCTATACATTTTGCTGGAGGAAACCAAGGATAGCCTAGGTATAATCTCTAACTGCAGCAGAAATGTAGCACAGTTGCTTAGTACAAGCGTCTCACTTCCTACAGACCTGTATTCAAATTTGGATAGTCTTGAGTTCTTACTTAAATTCCCAAAGAACACACTGCTATTCCTTGTGTATATTTTAGCATAAATCATGTTGGTGTGGAATTTGTTTGGATGGCCCTGGTTGAAAAGTTTTAGATAAGGTTATATATATATATATATATATATATATATATATATATATATATATAAAACAAGATCTACTTGTTTTGCACCAGCTAGTGCCTACAGTTTCATCTGAGCTCTAAGTATGAGCCCTGCTGTTATTCTTTCTTTGGCAGTTGAATGTTGAATTCAAGATTCTTGTTTTTGTTTTTAAAAGTACTAAGCAATACAAAGGGGAATGGGACATGCTCGTGTTTGAATTTGCTCTCTTGTTGCTGTAATTCTGTGCATTATTAATATTTGGATGCATGCAACGCCAGCATGGAAATTGGTCCTCACACATACTAGTTTTCCAGAAACACTCACAAATCACTGAATGTAACAGACATTCCATTTGTTTTGTTAACTTTTTAAACTTTTTGTAACTTTTAAATTTTTATAACTTTTCAATTTTTTATCTTAAAAATGTGGGGAACAATTTAGGGTTAGGTATACAAATATTCATTATATAGGTACCCTTATTGATGAGGTATGTCCCCCCCTTCCCCAGGAAGATTCCCACTACTGCCAAACTCACCTCCCCGCGCCCGCCCCTTGAAGTTTCCCGCTACTGCCAATCTTTTTCTTGTAGTATTATGATAGTTGACATTCCACTTGTTAATGGGCACATATGTGAAAAGCAATGTAGAAATAGGCCAATATTAGAAAATGGTTAAGTCCTTAACAACTTTAAATGTGGTTATATAAAGGACACTGTCAATGTTCATAAGTTAAACCTAGGTATCTGGTCAAAACAATGCTTGGGAAACATTTTATTAAAATTGAACTAGGCCGGGGTTGGTGGCTCAGTCTGTAATCCCAGCACTTTGGGAGGCCGAGGCGAGTAGATTGCCTGAAACTACGGTTTCGAGACCCGCCGGGGCAACTTGGTGAGACCTCGTTTCTACAATAAATCAAAAAATTAGCTGGGCGTGGTAGCACACGCCTGTAGTTCCAGTTACTTGGAAGGCTGAGGCAGAAGGATCACCGGAGCCCAGCAGGTCGAGTCTGTGGTGGCCAGAAGCGTGCCACTGCACTCCAGTCTGGGTGACAGTGAGACTCTGACTCACAAAAAAATAAATAAATAAATAAAATAAAATAAAATAAAATTGAACTAATTTGCCAAAAAAAAATCTTTTAAGTTTCCTAGACTTCATAGACTGTTACTGTCCTACATCCTCTTAGAGTTTGCAATTCTAACTGGTCACTTGATATTTCATTGCCCTGGTGATGCTATATTGACTTGCTATCTGTGTGGTTACTTTGGTTAACCATAATGAATGTTACTGGCACATACTCCATACATATAATACGACAAGGTAGCAAAACCAGAAACTCTTGGTTTCTTATTCAAAGTGTTCAGAATATTATATTTAAAACACTGGTGAGGTATAGTGGCTCACACCTGTAATCCCAGCACTTTGAGAGGCAGAGGCAAGAGGACTACCTGAGCCAAGGGGTTTGAGACCAGCCTGCGCAACTTGGTAAGACTTTGTACCTACAGTAAATAAAAAAATTAGTTGGGCATGATGGTGTGCACCTGTAGTTCTAGCTACTTGGAAGGCTAAGAGGGAATGGCCTGAGTCCAGAGCACAGTTCAGAAGGTCGAAGCTATGGTAACCATGATCATGCCACTGGACTTCAGCCTGGGAGAGAGAGTGAGACTCCAACTCAAATAAATAAACTGATAAAAATAAAACATTGATGACATTTGCCAAATTTTAACTCGTCTGTTTTTTCTCATGTTATTGATTTTTAGGAGCTCTTTATATGTTGTGGATTTTAGTCTCCTATTGGCTCTGTATGCTGCACCTGAGAAGCCCCACCTGTGCATAGTCAGAAGTCAGACTGGGAAAAGACTGAAAAGACGTAAAGGGAAAGTAAGAAGCAGAATGAATCTTTATTGCTCATCTCTGGGCCCCCATCCCAGATACCTCAGGGGATCCTAGCAATACGACGTAGCATAGTTGCATGGGCTGCTGGAGGTGGCACTGGGAGTAATTTTTTGGCTGCTTGTTCCAGGATGCTCAAGATGGGACCATGGGCCTCCTGGCACAGCTCGGCACCCAGGAAAGCCTCCACTCGCCCACGCCATGCTGCCAGTTGTGGTCGTCCCTCAAACAGGGCATAGCCAAGAGCCACGGGCTGCAGGGACAAGGATGGGAAAGTTGTGGGGATACTAAGGCCCCAATGCTAGGAGCACAGACAAAGGTATCAGGGCCATGGTCCCTTCCCTTGCCCCCACATGAGGCCCAGGTGGGATGAGACCCCACACCCAGGTGGGTGGCAGAAAGTCAGAGTTCTGGCCCCAGCTCCAGAGACATGCTCTGTGATCCTGGCTAAAACCTGGGCTTTCTCCAGGCTTCAGTGTTTCTGTAGGACTCATGGGGATGGCCCTAGGAGGGACACTGTCCATGCCGAGCTCACACCTGCATCAGCTCCTCCAGCGCCATGAGATCAGCCAGCGTCACCTGCTGGCCAGCAAGGAAGGCCTTGTCCCCCAGGAACTTGTCCTCCAGCCACTGCAGTGCCTGGTCCATGGCAGCCCTGTTGCGTGCCACCTTCTCCTCAGGCACCTGGGCACCCATGAGCGGTGCCAACACCTGAGGGGAGCAGAGGGTGGGCTCAGATTGTGGCCCTGCCTGCTCCCAGCCCTCTGACTAACCACTCTCCAGATGGCCCTCCTCACCTGGGTCCACAGGGGCACACCAAAGGTGCCACGGATACAGTCGGCATGCCAGCCCAGGTATTCATGGATGCGTGCACGGGTCTGTAGGTCAGAGGGGTACCAGTGGTCCGCCGTCGGGTACTTACAGCTCAGGTAGATCAGAATGGCCGCGCTGGGGATGGGGGCGAAGAGGACAGTGGTTGTAAGGACCGGGGCCAGGCCTTTAACCCCAGTTGCTCCCATCCCCCCTTGGGGCCCTGAGGCTTCTCCAAGTTTGATAGACTCCCCTCCAGTCTCTCCTCTCCTCTCCTCCTCCTCTTCCTAGCACTGCCTCCTCCCTCTCTCTTGACTACACCCTCAGGGTCTCCTCCCTTCTCTCATGTCTTGGGCACTGAGTTTTGGACAGATCTGCTTTGCCTTTCAAGAGCCTCATCTCTGTGATATCCCAGCAGCCATCTATCTCATGAGGTAGAGATTCTTGTTATCTCTTTAACACAAGAGGAAACTAAAGCCTGGAATAACTAAGTGACTTGTCTGAGGCTGCACAGTTCAGAAAAGCCTCCTTGAGCTGCTGGAACCTTGCTGGACACAGTGGATGCTCAGTGGAGTCCCTCTCGTGTCCATGTGATGGGATCAGGAGGGAGACCTGTCCCTGGGTGTCCTCTGATGGGCTCCCAGTCATCACTTCTGCAGCTGCCTGGCTTCTTGTCCTCTTCCTACCAGTGCTGGACCTCACTGGGAGCTAAGCCCTCAGGCTCTGGCACTAGCCTTCAGGACTAGCAGGGGCAGACCCGGGAGGGGCTACTCTGAGAAGTCAGAAGAGACCCTTTCCACTTTCCATTTGTGGAACCTACTCTGCCCAACACTGGACAAACACCCCTTGTCCTCTCTTCCTGTACCCTCAGTCTGAGGGTGGGGAGGCCCTGAGGCTCAGAAAAGGAGGCTGAAGACAAGAGGTTAGGGACACCCTGGGTCAGTCCTGCTCATCCTGGATTCCCCCTGGTCTGCTCCCCCACCCTGCTGGCCTCCCCCACCACTCCCCAGGGTATGGGAGGACCCAGAGTGGGGAAAGCTGGGCCAGGTGGGCCCAGGGTTGCGAGGTGAGGGGAGAAGGGCACCTTTCAGTCAGGATGAAGTCACCCTCCTTAAGGACAGGCACCTTCTGCAGGCTGTTCACCTGGGAGAAGTCCTTGCTCACATGCTGCCCTGAGAAGGAAGTCAGCAAAGGTGTACAAGCAAGAGCTGCACCTTCCTCTCCCTCCCCTGCCGGAGTCCCACCCTCCGGGCTGGGCTGGGGAAGAGCAGGGTCAGAGGCCGGATGGCGGGCGTCGAGCGGCCTGGGGGGTGAAGCCAGGTCTCTGGGGTGGGGCGGTGTGGTGGCTCAGTTCCTCCCCCACTCAGTGCTCACAGCAGCATGCCCCTCCCCAAGGTCTTCGGAGCTGTGTGGACTTTGATGCGGGCTTTCTACCAGAAACTCGGACAACCCAGGGAAGGATTTTCTCCACCCCCAGAGCAGAAGGTCCTAAGACTGGGGTTCAGAGAAGGCCATGACCCCTCCAGGCCGCGCCGTCCAGGGCTCTCTTCGGTGGGCGCAGCAGGGGGAAGAGATTGGGGCTGCGTGGCGGAGGCGGGGCGCGTGGGAGCAGCCGCGTGGGGCCTGGGGTCTCACGCGGCCCGCGGACACACACGGAGACGCGCCGGGCCCACCTTTGACCAGGTCCACGGGGCGCAGCTCGAAGGGGATGCCGTTCTTGGCGAAGATGTAGACGGCGTGGCAGGGCTGAGACAGAAGGTCCAGGTAGAGCTCCAGACCCATGGAAGGGGACGAGGACAGCAAGGACGACTGTCAGGGACGCAGTTCTGGCGGACGCAGGGCGGCATTCACAGGGCTGTGACCGCCAAGCACTGTGCCTGGTTAGATGTCGGCCTCTTTCTTTGTACTTGTATTAATCACTATTTTGTGTTCACCTTTTCCATATTGCCACAAAGTTTATCTGCTTGTAGTTTGAATAACTGTCTAATGCTTAATCAAGTCTTCTTTTCTTTTTAATATCAGGACCCCACCATCCCCCTCCCTGCCTCCACCATCACCACAACCCTGGGAGGGGAAGGAGGGAAGAGAGAGAGAGAGGAGGAACTGCCCGGGATGGGGCGGGGACTAAGTTGATATATATTTGATACAGGGGCTTAATATGTTGGTATTTGATTGCTCATTAGAATTGACTTCCCATAGACACATGCATCAGTCTGTCCCTTTGTATGTGTCACACCTAACATGAGGTCCCAGGGACACCTCTCCCCACTCTTCTGTCCTCCATTCCACCTGGGAATCTCAAACACCCTTCATGACAGCACTTGGTCCATACCTTGAAGTAGGTACCAGGTAGGAGCCACTCTAGTCTCCCTGGGCTGCAATAGGATGAGCAAAGGATGCTCCTAGGCTTTGATGGAATGTGCCCAGAAACAGGGACTATTTTCAGTTTCTGTGTCAGGAGACTCCGAGACCACCCACAAGTCCCGTAATACACTAGGAGGACTCATGGGACTGGACTCTGCCTTGTTGAGTTGTCCTGACATAGTCATACTCATGGCTATGATTTATTACAGTAAAAGAAAATAAAATCAGCAACAGGAAAAGGTACAGGGAGCAACGTCCAGGGGGAACCAGGCACAAGCTTCCAGAGTCCTCTCCCTGCAAAGTCACACAGGATATGCTTAAATTCCCCAGAACTGAGTTGGCATGTCACGTGCAGAATGTTGCTGACTAGGGACATTCATTAGAGCCTAAGTGCCTCAGGTTTTTACTGGGGACAGCTCATGTAGGCACTTCTTGCCTGGCATGTGCCAAAATTTCCAACTCTCAGAAGGAAATCAGGTGTTCAGCATAAACCATTTGTTAGCACAAACAGGTTGGACACTGTGGGCCTCTCCTATCAGCTAATGGGAGTGCTCCCAAAATCTGAGATTCCAATCACCAGCCAAAGGCCAACTTTATAAGTAGGCCTTCCAGAGGACAGCTGTACAGTATTTCTTACTGCTTAGATTAATTTTTAAAATTAATAATAGTAGCTGGGCGTGGTGGCATGCACTTGTAGCCCTAGGTACTTGGAAGACTGAAGTGGGAAGATCACTTGAGCACAGAAGTTTGAGGCCAGACTGGGCTGCATAGTGAGACCTCGTCTCTGAAAAAAAAACACATTTTAAGAATAGATGATCATTGTAGCAAAACTAGGAAATACAGAGAAACAGAAGAAATGGAAGTTGGACCCCTTGAAATCCTATCTTCTGGGACACAGGAGAGCATGGGTCTAGATAGATCAGAGCTGGGAGAGTGATCCCTGCACCATCTGGAGGACTGGAGAAACCTGGTGAGGTGGAGGGCCTGGGGGTGGCAGGAGATGGGCCAATCAGGAGTCAGGGGGATTTTAGGCTAGGGGCACTGCTGGCAGCACCCAGGCTGAAGAAACATTCTGTCCTCTGAGGAAGAGGAGCCCAGCCCCAGTCCTGGGCAGATGCCTGGCTATAAAGCACAGCACTGAGAAATAAGCACTTGAAGTCTGAAGACTATTGTGTGTTTGTGTATGTATGTGTAGGAGTGTGTGTGAGTGTGTATGTTAGTATGTTTATGAAAGTATAGATTTATGTGTATTTGTGTATATGTGTGCATGTGTGTATCTGTGTATATGTATGTATGTGTGAATTGTGAGGGTGGGTATGTGTATGTGAACATGTGTGAGAATGTATGTGTAATAGTATACATAGTATCTTTGTGCATATATGTGAAAGTGTGCATGTAAGAGTGTATGTGTGTGTATTTGTATCTGTGTGCATATGTGAGAGAGTATGTGTGTGTGTGTGTGTGTGTGTGTGTGTGTGTGTGTGTATAAGAGTGTATATGTGTACATTGGTCATGTGCATCCTTTAACTTGCCTGATCACAATTGTCTCAAATTTCTCAGAGTCACTTTTTTTTCTTTCTTTCTTTTTTTTTTTGAGTTGGAGTCTCACTCAGTCACCCAG